GAAAGAAAGAAAGAAAGAAAGAAAGAAAGAAAGAAAGAAAGAAAGAAGAAAAACAAAACAAAACCCAAAAAAAAACACTGCGGCAAAGAATGAAACTTTGCTCCAGTGGAAAATATTCAAAACATGTTATTTCTGTGTGGTGGCTCCTGGGATAAATAGGTGATGCTGCTGCCTGAAGGTGCTCCCACTGTCTGGAAAGATGATTGAAGGCGGAAATTCTTTACACACGGCTGAAAATGTTGTGAGAGCAAGAAGTAGAAACCGGAGAGAAGTGGTTTTTATCACCGGCAAAAAGCAACAAGTCAGGATGCTTTTTTCATGGCTATCCAAGCAGAGACTATTTGAGGCAGACAGTGAGACACACTGGGTCTCCAGTTACAGTCAGAGGAACTCGGGATATTTGACAATCAGTCATATCCCATCACTTGTCCAGCTTTTCAGATTTTAGTAGTGGAATTCAAACAGACATAGAGGAAGTACTGTAAAACAGACTTAAGGGTCAGTTTATGACTTATCAAAAAGTCTGATAGATATTATGTCACTCTTCATTTAGCTCTCATCACCATTTGTGTTATAAATCCATTTCGATGTCCTCAAAATTGGTCTACTAAAATAATGCCGCAGGAAAAGGAATATTTTTCATGAGAAGGCATTTCCAAACTGTTTGGTACTGTTTGACATTCCTCCATAGAGAATTTTAAAAGCTATGTAGGAAATAGCCATTCTTAAGTTGAATAAGTCATAGAAATGGGAGGTGTGTGACAGAGTTACCATGGCTACGGTATAAAAGGCCCCAAAGCAAACAGGTTAGGAAAGTACAGGCTTAATTTACAGCCAGTTAGTGAATTTAAAAGTATTTCAGGAGGAGGATGGGACAGGCCATTTGTTTGCCTGTCCAAAGTTAGTTTTAGATTTGAATCTGAGCTCAGGCTGCGGGCCTTTTTGTCAACAGCTGTGGCTGTTTTGAGGGACTGAGAGATGGTAGCACCAGATGTTCTTTTGCTGCTCGCACCTTTGCCCACGTACGTGGTACTGAGACAAAACGAATCCTCCTGCTGAAGCCTACTGGACCTCAGGGAGTCCCTGGACCCTGGTTTGGAGCCCAGGGTTCTATCCGACTGATAGTTTTGGGACATCTGTGTACACGGGGCCCAGTTGGTGCAGCTCAGTGAGAAACACCACACTTTTCTGCGGCCGCCTAATGAGGTCCAGTGGCATCCTCTGCATGAGTGCAACATCAGACGTTTGCAACTGAGGAATTTCGTCCTGAGAAAGAGAGCTTCCAGATGTTGTGCGAGGGAGACTTAAATCAGTTTCTGGCCAAACACAAAAATGCTCTCAGATTTTCAGTTTTGTCTCAGGGCACTGTCTCTACTTGTCATTCAGTCTATATTTAATCACAGAAAATTCAAAGGATCAAAAAAGCCTCCATCCATCCCTCCATTCCCAACAACAACTTGATTAAATTCAGGGTCGTGGGTTCAATTAGGCTCTGGCTGCCAAACTATTCTGCGCATAAAACACACATTATGAGTATAAACTGAACTAATAAATACAACAGCAGCTTTCTTACCAGTTTCCCCTCTCGGCTTTCCTTTTTATAATATCCATGCTGGCTCTCCACAGGCGTGGTGCAGCTGGCGGAGCGCGACTCCACCAGAGCCGGGGACAGAGAGCAGAAGGGCGGGCTGGGGCTGGGGGGCAACCCTGAATCCGGACTGTCGAGTAGCCCTTCTCGGTTCTTTCCTTTTAGGCTGTCATCCATCGCTTGTAAATGTAGGTGCCCCACCATTTCTGGGACGGCTCGAGTGAAAAAAAAACACCTTAGACCAAGTCGCGCTGACAAGTTTTTTTTTTTTTTTGCTTTTCCCTGAAGCGCTCCGAGCTGCTGCGCGCTGACAAGAAACAACCCCGAGAGAGAGAGTCTTTTTTCTCTCTTGAATTCTGGCTTTGGGTTTCTGAAAGAAGGGGGAATTGGAGAAATATTTTTAACCATTGAATGATTCGATTTGGGAAAAACTACACAAAGTGACAGCAACTCAAGATTCGATCGTTTGTCTTCACACCATACTGTACCTGCGCGTGGGAAAGGCTTAAATCCGAAACGATTTTCAACGCTTGAGAAGAAAATCAAATATCACTTTCAAAAGACTCGACCCTGATGGGTAGTGTGTCTTCAAATAAAACAAAAAACAAAAACGGTGTAAAATCCTCCAGAACAGAGAGTCGTCTCTGGGTCTGGCACCGGTCTGGATGAGGACTCCGCTCCTGAGCTTTGCTCGGTGTTTGAGTGTGCGTACTGTGTGCGCGCTCCACTGGAGAGCTCCCTCTTGATGAGCCTGCCAGGCTTTTTTTTTTTCTTCTTTTTTTTTTTCCCCGCACCTGGATCTAGTCCAACCCTCATGATCTGGACCACTTCCACGCTCAGCCGACAGGGGCGAGCTCTCTCCCTCCTCTCCCTCCTCTTCCTCCTCTCCCGCTGCGCGCCGGGCCAGAAAAGCCAATTTACAGATGCACCTCTGAGTTAATTGGACTGTCCTACCGCCTGCAGCTGCGTGCTTTACTCAGTGGACACAGTGGACATTCCAGTGTCCACTGTGTGCTGCTCTACAGGCATCAAGAGTGATCACAGAGATTCGTTTTATTGAGTTTTACTCAGTGATACTCAAAGTATAGCTGGAACACTCTAAATTACTGTCTTGATTTCCTTTAATGGCCTGTCCAGCAAGCAAAGTCTTTAATGTGACATTGAAATCTGCTCGGTTATATTTAGCTGACTTCCCATTCACGTAAATACCAAAGTGAAACACACATGAACTTTTTATTCTTTTATTCTGAATGATCTCATGAGTGTCTCTCCGGTCATGTTTTTGCTACCCAGTCAGCAGTTTGTGTTGGCTTTGGTAAATATTCAGAACTTGGGCTTTACAGCAGCAAGTAGTAGCAAGTAGCCAAAAAACAAAGTTAGAACACAGAAAAAAGGTTGAGGCAGGAAACATAAAGATTTGAAATATGTCAGTGTGATCAGTAAGGCAGTAAAGTGGTGTCAAAGTCATGTGGCTCCACACAGAAAAGGCTGCCTCATGATAAAGGATCAAACCGATACATCCAATATTGGTGCATACGTGTACATGTTGCTATTTAATGATGTGTAGATGTTCAATATCTCATTAAGTGTTCCTATTTAAAGTTATAGACGTCTCATATCTTTTCAAGTTTCCGTCCACGATGATCGAGACTTTCACCACTATTGATTTGATCCCAAAAGTTGTCCAACACAGACTTGTTCCAAAACACACAAAATTTCCAATCTGATTCAACGAAAATACATATTTACCTACTTTTGCACTTCACTCTGTTGCACAAATAGATATGATTGGTTGATATGCATGTGTTCAAAGAGGGTGGGTTTACACCAGTATATGTGCATGATTTCTAACCTTGGCTTGTGATATGCATGCAGAAAAATACATTTATCACCCACTTTCTGCTCTCGAGTGAATCTGAGGGTAGCTTCCATCCATCCATCAGTTATTGTTGCCGCTTATTCCTTATGTGTATTCATTCCTAAAACCTGTGGACTTTGTTTTACTCAAGCTCGACGATATCGTCACAATACGTGTATCAACCTACTCAAATGAAAAACCTCTTGAAATGAAAAGCAACATTCAGTAGCAGTCTTTGTTTATTTTATATGAATCAGCAGCTTTTGTCGAGAAATTTGTGTTGATTTAGTCTGAGTGGTAGAGAGGATGATTAAAGGATGGCTGTGGTAATCTTCTGGGGCTCTGTATGTGTGCGCCTTTGTGTGCCTGGAACTATCCTGCCTGGTGTATTTCAGGACTGGGTGGAGATGGGTGGGAACGCTATCCACCAACAACCAAACGGGGCTGTGCGAGCAGAGCTCGCACACAAAAGCAAGACCTGAGAGGAGAAACGAGCAGACAGCAGCAGCTACGGGACAAAGAACTGAGCCCTTGTTGTTGGTTCTGTTCTGGCTGAACAGCTGCCCCGCCAAAAGGGAAATCAGAGCACAAATGGGAGCCATGCAGAGCTACAGGGAGCTGGCTGATTGTAGCTTTGATGGTCCACCAGCTCTCCCTGGTGATTACTGCAAGCTGTCAGATGATCATGCCCCTCGCTTTTTTCACGTCTAACTCCAACTCCAACAGCACCCTATCTGCTTTTCTTGTATACTTAATGGAATCCCTTTTTGAGGGTGTGCAGCTGTAATAGTGTTTGCTGAAAATAGCTTTCCCCCCCCCCCCCCCTCTGTGTTATTGTTTGGAAGCCACAGCAGGGGGCCGCGGAGCTAAGTTTTACTGCCAGTCTCCGCATCAGGTGTGTTTCGTATCATGGCGTCCATCTTAAACAGCCCATCATGCTGATCCTCAGGCATCGGGGGGATTAGGGGAGAGATCTGGTACAGATTAGCTTTAACACGCTGGGATGATGAGCATGTTTGCGAGTTGGCTGAAGGGGAGAGTTGCTCTGTTGCAACCTCTGTGAATGCTGCAGAGAGCCCTGAGAGTGGCTGCAGTCAATCACGCTCCACTTCGATTATCATGATGATTCTGGAAACGTGGCTTTTTGTTCTTTCAGTACGCTGCTTCGTACTGACAAATGGAGCAAGAGTTTGTTAGCATGCTGGATGGCTGCCCTCATGATGGCATTGAAGAGGGATTATAGGCTGATTTATAGACTCCTAATTATATTCGGGAGATGCAGTAGAACAGGTTTAGATACTCATGCGCTCAAGAAGTTATCTTTGTGTCAGCATACCCTGACCCAGACCCTGTTTGAAACATTTTGTTTGAAGTCATGTCCCTAAAGTCCATTCAGCAGATATGTTACGACAGAGCAGCTAACATGGTTGTACACTCTTTGCGATGTTGTCAGGACGGTCATTGATATTATTTTCACTGCCATTGTTTGCGCACGAGGATTAATCATTACATTTCCTCTGAACTCGTGAGTCTTATATCTTGACTCTGAGCTGGTCAAAATTAGTCAAAACAACTTTATATTTGACCAGACCTGCTCAATGTTTTTTCCATGTGCTCTCATTCATCTCTGGCTCAGAGGCTGAGATTATTATTTTTGGGAAAGTCTGTTTTGTGCTTCTCATTCGGTCTGCAAGTTCCTTACAAAACTGTGTATTAAACCTCTGACCTTTGTGTTATGGATGGTAGACCTGGGACATTATTTAACAGATCCTTTTTTTAATCATTTGTTGGGGTTGATTGAAGAGTTCTGCAATCAGAGTTGTGCTGCAGAGAAGTCGGGGATCCCAGGAGACATGCAGACAGACACAGAGAGAGGGGGGGGGGGGGGGGGGCAGCCAAGCTGTCTGCTGATGATTCATTTTTTAGTGCTCCATCATCCTTCCCCCTTGTAGATCTGTCCCCTCCTCACATCCTGCCACGCATGCACACAGACCATAAAAAAAAATAAAAAAAATCATGAGAACACAAACTTGTTTGTGTGCATAGACACAGAAACTCACCAAACATTTGTGATCTGCCGAAAACCTCGCGCTCAATCCCCCCCAGGTTCACACAACCCTGCTATTCCAGCTGGCCGAATCGGGCTGGGGGAGAGGAGGGGCGGCCTTAACGCAGGTGTGTGTGTGTCTGTGTGTGTGTATGTGTGTGTTTGTTTTCATGCAACACAACGAAAGACATGCACTCATTCCGTCCTCCCCACTCTTCAACCGTTGAGCCACACATGCTTCTTTTAAGGCGAGCAGCTCCCTGTGCACGCTGGCGTGTTCACCTGCTGTCTGGAATAGCTCTCAGTGTAAACAAACCACAGGCCGGGCTTGGCAGGGCGGCTGTTTTGAACCGGCCTCAGCGTCACTGCGGTTTCCACTCACAATGCTTCTCTTCAGCCTCCCTAGCTATGATTCTTCTCCATCTCGCAGATAGGTGACCATTCTCCAGTTTGCTTTTCACACGTTGTACACATAAAAACAAGCAGCTTGTGTCCGGCGGAACTCACTCGAGCCGCTCATCTCTGCTCTGTTTCCCTTTCTGGGAAGATAAGAAGCAACCTTTGGCCAGATGATGGATGAGCTTGGACGATTTCTGTATGCCATCCAGACCTCATTTCGATCCACGATGCTTTTTCACTCCTCTGAAGCCCGGTCACATCTGGTTTTAATGTGAGATGCTGCCTGGATGGAGAGGATAGTCCTCACTTTGTAACTCCGTCTGTCACCAGAGAGGCTCCCCTCGTCCTTTCATCTCTAAACGCTCAGTCACTGTTGTGACAGATTCTCTAATTAGCTCGCTGATTTCAACCACACCTGATCTGTGTAGCTGTGGAACAGTTCTTACACTATTCATCAGATTCAGTTAAGACATATTTGAAATGTAATTGACGTTTTTTTGATAATCCTTTAAGCTTATTTCCAACTTGTTACCTCTTTTTTGGGTCATCATTTGGGAGTCTCATTGAAAGATGTTGCTGTTTTTCATCATACTGTATGCAAACATGTTTGTTGTATCCTGTTACTCTCATTTCTTGATCTATTTTTCATTTACAGACCGAAAAGACCATGTAAAGTCCACCAAAGTATATTGAGGAAGGGGTTGTGAGCGTTACACAGTAATAGGACTTTCTCTGTGGGAGCAAAGATTCAGGAGCTGATTTATTTTCAGTCCCTCAGTGAGATTTCCTGATAACAAAATTACTAAGTCAAGGCTGAGAAAGTACCAAGTGCACAGGACAAGGAAGCCATTTCCAGCTCTCTGTGTGTGACATTCTCAAAGGACAACAATTCTTCACGGGTTGCAGTCGCACATAGGCGAATAGGAACTCTGCATCTCCATAAATACCAGCTGGACAGCGGTTCACCGGTCAGACGTAAGCCGCTGAAGGTTGCTCTGCTGTGATGTGCTGTTAATGTGAAGTAACCCTGTCACAATGCACAGGGGCAATATCAGTTTTATATAACTACCTTGATGAGAATAATAACTTTACAGCCTCATTTTTTTTATCAACATAGCTAAAGCAAATTAATTAGATACTAGTTTCTTCATCACCCTGAGGCCAGACACTGACTTTGGATCATGAAAAACACTCTCATCGTTGGTTATCAGTTGGCTCCTTTCTTTATTTGTCTACGGGAATGCTTTTTCGGAAGTGTGTCCTTGGGGTGAGCTGGTCACTTGTGTTGCTAAATGCAGTTTGCACACTATGTGACTTCTTCCTGGGACTACCCTGAGGCTGCACAGCTGCTGGATTTGCATGCTAGCAACTCGTTGGCCCTCAGATGTAATCACAGTGATTCACCTGCTTGCTACTTCCTCTGACATTTATGCCTTCGCGCAGTTTTGTGTGAATAGTCAATAGGTAAACAAGATAATTGCTTTTGTCTAATGTGTAACAGTGAGACCTACGACTGAATGACCAACGTGATCTGAGACACAGTTTTAGTGTAAAGCTCGTTATCTATTCATCTGTGGATCAATATTC